TTGTTTACAAAAAAATTTCTTCGACACAAACTGCTATATAAACCTTGGTTTAATATATAAAAAAGACTTCTTTTGGGTAGTAACTTATAATTATATACATTATATACACTTGTATTATTATTGTACATACTTTCTTTTAGGCGAAAAAGATAATATTTTCTTTTGAAGAAAAATAATCTTTGAAGAGATGTTTTAAGCATGGAAGTTTAAAGTAACAAAAGGTTATGCAACTAGTAAGGAAAAATTATTATTATATTACTTTATTACTTTATTACTTTATTATATAATATTAATTACTTTTCTTTTTCAAAAAGGAAAAAGAAAAAAGAATATTATAATAATGGTATATTATTTATTACATTATTATTTTATTACAGATCTAGGTGAACAAGCTTGTTACGCAACAATTAAGGGAAAAAAAATCATTATATATATTGTTATTATATTATATTATTACTTATTATTTTAATTACTTTTCTTTTTCAAAAAAAAACAGATCTAGTGAACACTTATTATGCGATTAGCAAGGAAAAAAAAGAAAATCATTATATATATTATTATTATATTATATTATTACATTACATTATATTACATTAATTACTTTTCTTTTTCAAAAAAAAAAACCGGATCTAGTGAACACTTATTACGCGATTAGTAAGGAAAAAAAAGAAAATCATTATTATTATATTACATTATTTTATTATAATATTAATTACTTTTCTTTTTCAAAAAAAAAAAAAACGGATCTTGTTACGCACTAGTAAGAAAAACATTATATATATTATTATTATTATATAAATTATATTATATTATTTTATTTTATTATAATATTAATTACTATTACTTTTCTTTTTCAAAAAAAAAAAAACCCCCCGGATCTTGTTACGCGGCTAGTAAGGAACAAAAAAAGAAAAACATTATATATATTATTATTTATATAAATTATATTATATTACATTATAATATTAATTACTTTTCTTTTTCAAAAAAAAATGGATCTTGTTACGCGGCTAGTAAGGAAAAAAAAAATCATTATATATATTATTATTATATTACATTATATTTCATTATTATTTTAATTACTTTTCTTTTTCAAAAAAAAAAACGGATCTAGTGAACACTTATTACGCGATTAGTAAGGAAAAAAAAGAAAATCATTATATATATTATTATTATATTACATTATTATTTTATTATAATATTAATTACTTTTCTTTTTCAAAAAAAAAACGGATCTTGTTACGCGGCTAGCAAGGGAAAAAAAAGAAAATCATTATATATATTATTATCATATAAATTATATTATTATTTTATTATAATATTAATTACTATTACTTTTCTTTTTCAAAAAAAAAAAGGATCTTGTTACGCGGCTAGTAAGGAAAAAAAAGAAAATCATTATATATATATTATTATTATATAAATTATATTATTATATTATTATAATATTAATTACTATTACTTTTCTTTTTCAAAAAAAAAAAAGGATCTTGTTACGCGGCTAGTAAGAAAAAAAAAAGAAAATCAATATATATATTATTATTATATAAATTATATTATAATATTAATCACTTTAAAAAAAAACAGGTCTTGTTACGCGGCTAGTAAGGGGGAAAAAAAGAAAACATTATATATATTATTATTATATAAATTATATTATATTACATTATTATTTATTATAATATTAATTACTTTCTTTTTCAAAAAAAAAAACGGATCTTGTTACGCGGCTAGTAAGGGAAAAAAAGAAAATCATTATATATTATTATTATTATATTACATTATTACATTATACTACATTATAATATTAATTACTTTTCTCTTTCAAAAAAAAAACGGATTTAGTTACGCAAAAAAAAAAAGAAAATTGTGGAAAAAAAATAATATATTATTATATATATTAATATAGGTGAACAATATTGTTATGCAACAAAAATTAAATATTAATATATATTATTACTTATTTTCTTTTTCAAAAAAAAATATGTGGTTAAATGATTCACAATTTCATCATGATTACAATTTTTCAATTATAATAATATTAATTAATTAATTAAATTACTTGCATTGTTTAGGATCCAATAAAAGAAAGCCTAAAGATAAATCTCCAAGCAAAAAATCCAAAAAATCACCAGCAAAGAAAGAAAATAAAAATACCAGATTAAAAAGAAATTGTAATAAAAACATTTGAATTAAAAAAATAATTTTTATACATTAAGTACATTTACTCCTTACATCAAGTACATTTACTCCTTGCATTAAATACATTTACTTCTTACATTGAGTATGTTTACTCCATACATTGAGTATGTTTCTTTCTTACATTGAGTATGTTTACTCCATACATCAAGTATGTTTACTATGTACATTGAGTATGTTTCTTTCTTGCATTGAGTACATTTACTTCTTACATTGAGTACATTAATTCTTACATTGGGTACATTAATTCTTACATTGAGTATGTTTCTTTCTTACATTGAGTATGTTTACTCCGTACATTGAGTATGCTTCTTTATTACATTGAGTACGTTTGTTTCATACATTGAGTACGTTTTTTAGTACAATCTCATTATTTATAAAATTTATAGGTTTTTTCCCATGTACGTAAAAATGCATTTTTCCTTACATCACATACACATTTCCGGAAAATTTTACGTACATTATTAAAGGATTATTCCTTACAAATAAATATTACAAAATGTAAGGAACTTCCGTACATAAATTTTCTATAGGGTAGAAGAATCACAATATATTGGTAAAGGAGCTGATACTGTGATTTCTTTAGTTCATAATTATTTTGAACAACATAGTCTTGGTGAAGAAAAAATAATAATTCATGCAGATAATTGTTCAGGCCAAAATAAAAATAATGCAATGATTCAGTATTTAGCATGGAGCAGTGTTGTGACCCGAAACTCTGAGTTTAGGGAAAACCAGAAACAGAAACTAACAGAAACCACCCGAAACTAGTTTAGGTTAGTAGTTTATGTTTATGTTTAGGTTTAGGTTTAGTTTTCTGCTTAGTGTAAGTTCATTTTCCGAAATGTTTCGGGAAGCCAAAAGAGTTTCTGGTCACAACACTGGCATGGAGAGTCCTAACAGGTAAGCATAAAAGGATTACATATTCATTTATGGTAGCTGGCCATACCAAATTTAGTCCAGATGGATTTTTTGGATTGTTTAAATTGAAGCTTAAAAATTCTGAAGTTGATGATTTAGAGGATATTGTTAAAGTTGTAGAATCATCAACAAATGGGTGCAATAATGCTCAGACAATTTATGATGAAAATGGAGAAAAAAAAGTTACTTTTCACTACTAGACTGGATATTTAAAAAAAAATTTTTAAGCCATTGCCAAATATCTTAAAGTATCATCATTTTATTTTTAATCAAGAAGAACCAGGGATTATACATGTTAAAAAAAGCATTGATGGTGAACTTATAGCTATAGGCATAACTAAAAACTTTACTAAAGATGCTGTTTTAGAAGAAAAATATCCTTTAGGTTTAGTTCCTGATAGAAAGAAGTATATACTTGAAAACATCATTCAACATGTTCAAAATCCAGATAAAAAAGCTTTCTATTATAAATTTTAAAGTTTTATTTTTATTATTATTGTTATTATTTATTTTATTATTTTATTTATTTATATTATTATTGTTGTTGTTGTTGTTATTAAAATAACCCCTGATTTTTGTCATAAATATAGAAATGATATACAATTTCCGAGTTTTTGAGTCAAAATCTTTTTTTTTGATTATCTCAAAATCGTGGTTTTGACATTGGGTGCGTTTCTATTGTCCATGTCCCATATATTCTTCCACTTCTAATGGACTGGCAAATGATAATTGATTGATTAAATTATTAACATCATTTTTTTTCTCTATTTGAAATCTCTTCAACTATATTTGTTGAATTTTCAATTAATTATCAGATATTTCATTTTCCATAGGGAGAATTCCAGTTTTCCTCTGACTATTGATAATTGTAACTGATGTTACATTATTCTAAGCTTTCTTAACAAAATCTAACACATTCATTATATTAATAGATTTTGATAAAGATATAGCAGGATTAGGATTTTGTGAAGATGTAGGATTAAGATATGAAATATGTGAGTCATAATTGCTTATTTTTTTTTCAAGTAATAGTTTCATGTAGTGTGCCTGTAATATACAAACATTAGTATAACATAAAATAAATAATTAGCTTAGATTAAATAATTGAATGAGCTAATCTTGAAGCTGTGAATTATTCCTGCATCACATGGTTGCAGGTGTGCAGTTACATTTGGTGAAAAATGATGAACCCTTATGTTTGTTAATTGTAAGTCTTCAGTCAAACTATGTGTTGGTGCATTGTCAACAAGCAAATATTATGTTCCTTTGTTTAGTTCTCATTCTTATATCTAAATTTTTAAGATACTCATTCCAGATTGATATTTGCATCCAAGCCTTACTATTCCAATAGTAATCTACTGGTAATGTTTTTTTATCAATTCCTCTTAAAGGCCATGGAGTTTGATATTTATGTATGAACAAAAGAGGTAATCTCTCTGTTCCAGTTGCATTGCATGTAAGTAGAATTGTTACTCTATCTTTGTCTTGTTTTGTTCCTGAAAGTGGAGCATTTGACAATCCATGTGTTGGTTCCATTTTCCAGTTTCATCACAATTGAAAATATCATTCAGCTGATATTTTTTAAGAATGTTTTTGCAAGTCTCTTCTCATTTCTGGAAGTTGTTCAAGAGGTGCACTTTGTGCTTCACCATGTTTAGAATATTCATGGATTGAATATCTTTGTTTGAAATTAGTTAACCAACCAGAAGAACCACTAAAATCTTGGTTACTTAATAACTCTGCAAATATCATGCCCTTTTATTTAATAATAGAATCTGCAATAGTTAAATTGCATCCAAGAGCCTTTTCAATCCATAAAATTAAAGCTTCTTCAATGTTAGTAAATGGAGTGATAGATGGTCTTTTTAAATTTGCTTGATAGGAATTTGGATTGATTTTAAGCCATTTTTCAGACTCCTTTAATATATTACTAACTTGGCCTGCACTGATTCCAAACTGGTTTGCTAAATCAAGATTTTTTGGTTCGGGTTTGCTTTTTTTAATATACAAAATTTGCATTTTTGTACAGCAGTAATATATACATGTTTTTGGAGGAAGATGATTGTTCAGACATTTTTAAATAATTTTTAAATGTATAATTTTTTGGTTATATAGGATTTTTTATAAATGGAATTTCAACTTAATTTATACATTTTGAAAATTTTGATAAATAACCTATCAATTGTTTGTTTATTAATTTATTTTAGAAGCTTGGAATATTTTGTTACTTGCAAACATTTAGACAAATAATCTATCAATTGTTTGTTTATTAATTTATTTTAGAAACTTGGGAAATGTAACTTGTAAAATTTTGTTACTCACAATCTTTGGATAATCAATCAATTGTTTTTGGAATTAAAAAATCTATCTATTGTTTGTTTTATTACTTTATTTTAGAAAAAAAAATTCTTACATTTATTTGTCAATTTTGGTAATTTGGATAATTTCATAAAATTTATATGTCATGTGAATTTGCTGTGATGAGATTAGTAGCAATATAGAAAGACCCCCACCAAAAATTCATTAATGTTGTGGAATGAATTTATTAATAAAATTCATTATGACAAATATTTTTAATTAATAAAAAAAAGGGCCAATATTTAAATTCGTTGTAACAAGAAATTTGCTGTGACAAGGTTCACTGTGACGAGGTTTGACTGTATTATTTTTATCAAGTATATGTTATATACTTAAATCATGATTCATTTTTTGTGTAAATTCTAGTTGAGAAATCTAGTAATACTTGATCTATGGAAAAAATCGAAATGTATATATTAATATACACATTAATACAAATGATTTTTAAATAAGAATCTAAACCATGAATAGTTATCCAATTTTGAAATCCCTGCATATAATTTCACAAATATATCAACCAACCTCCCAATAAATCAATTTCACATCTTTTACATTTATTGTATTATTTCATTAACATAGAAATATTTTTGTTTATCAATTGTAGTACAAAGTAATGACAAGCTATGTTTGAAAAAAATTGTTTCTACAATAAAATGAGTAAGCCTAAAAAATTCACAACACACATTTCCTAATTAATTAAGCTTTAGTTTTTGGGGAGAATGGTTTATATTCAACTCTGCTTCAGTTTCAGATGTAATCTGACATCGTTTCCCTTTGGTGTTTTCTAAAAACAAACTTTTAACTAATTTTTTGGTCACAAGCGATTTACTCTACATTTATTTGATCAACAACTTAGATAAATATTTGTGGTAAATACATACATTAACAAAGAACAATACTTACTTCAAGTAATTTGAGAATTCAGTACACATCCTCAAGCATCCCACATTCATCCTCGCCTGATGGTAATCTGCATTGATCAATTAAACCAAATCTATATATGCCATTCCCTGACCAATCCATGGAATAGAAGTTAAGTTCTAGACCTATTCATAAAACGAAATTCATTAACAAGTTAAACCTGCATAAGTATAATTGTGCAGGCGAGACTTACCAATTTGGAGCCTGTCATATATTGTTAAACTCTTACATTTCTCATCTGATACATATTTACACTCTTTTAGCAAATGGTTGATGCTATGATGCATACAGTCAAACCTTGTCATAACGGATTTCGATCTAGTACAAATTTAGAAAGTATCTGCAGAAATATTGTATTTGATTGGATATTTCTGCAGATACCTTCTAAATTTGTACTAGATCGAAATCCGTTATGACAAGGTTTGACTGTATACATGAAGTCGAAATGTTTTGACTTGAGGCAACTACATAGTAAAAATCAGTTTCGACCTTATTTTGACCCTATTTCAACCAGATCTGCAAATGGTCAAAATAGTTTCAACTTCATGTATATATAATCATGCATAATTATCATCAGCTTTAACTTATCAATGTAGCACTTCTTACAACAAGCAGTGGGAATTCCAAATGGTCCCAACCCCCCTGCCACCTCTCTGTAAATAACCTCAAATTTATTAGACATTTTAACCAAAGTACTTTTCATATCTACTCATCTGCCTATTTGTGCCCTTTTAAACAAATTTCCTGTTTTGTTACATGCATAGTTGGTAGACAAAGCTTGAACTTCCCCCCTTACATATATACACAGAATAGTTATTATATCAGAAGTGAACACCCCACAAAATAGTGGAAATGTCAAGCTCATTTTTAGCTCTTCTTCCGTCATCATTCCCTGAAAGTTAACCATATCACTTTTCCTGCACAGCAATCCAGAATCAGAACACTATAACTGGATGACAAAATATAATCAAAGAAAACTTATACATACATAAACTGAACATTTACATTTAATTTTCTAATATCATCTGCCTTTTTCTCACAATTAGTGTCAAAATATTGTTGTATATTCTTTTCTGGAGGCATTGTTTTCCAAAAAATATTATCAGCAAAGCCTTGTGATTGTTGCATTGTCCTTTTTTGTGAGCTGTTTGCAGTCATATAAACCTTCACCAGTTAAGTCTAGAACTCCCCAGTATGCAGAGCTATTGGGTGGAAAGTGTATCAATAATTGGATCATTACCAAAAACAATGATAAAACAATATCAAGCTTACATGAAAACTCTACAGCAGTGTTGTGCAATTGGAACATTGTAACACTATTGGAATGTTCCAATGTCAATCTTCAATTGATATTAACCAATAAAATTTGTGTGTATGACACTATGATTGAATTTCATTGGTTAACTTCATTTGGAATGTTCCAATTCCAATTGGAATTTATTAGAATGTTCCAATGAAATTTTATTGGAACCATAAATGGCACAACACTGCTCTATGGTTTTTGGAATTGTGTTTCAATATTTGTGGAAGGCTTTGATGATATCCACACCCGTAATATTTTTTGGTGCCTATTGATGATAATACAATGAGCCTACTGAATATATGTTCCTAACTATTAACATTAAGGTTTACCTTCAAAGAGCTATTAACACTTGCTAGTGGCAATTTGATTTCCTGTTCAAGTGTTTTTTCATCAATATTTTCCATGATTGTATCTTCATTAGATTTATCAAACAATAATGCAGATTCCTCATAATCAGATTGGTCTTCTCTTTTTCTTTTGTTGGTAGAAATAACTTGATTCTTCATTTGTATTGTGGATAAATGATGTATATAAATTTGGCTATAAAACACTAAATAATAAGAAAAATTAATACAAACCCTTGGAATAATGACATTACTGCCAATTTCATTGTGGTAGACATCGTCACTATGCTCTAGTGGATGTTTCATAATAGATATTATTTCACTCATTACAACTGATCTTAAATGTGTTTCGTTGGTGATCGCATCCAGTGCATTTCCTGCACACTGCAACTATTTCATATTCTAAATCAGTCAATCTGAAACATAAAGAATTTATAGAAAACACTACACTCACCTTTTTTATATCAAGCTGTTTCTTCATATTAATAGACTGCCAGAAAGAGTTTACATCTTCACTCATTTTTTCATACTTCAATACAAAATTATAATAGTTTTGTTTAACTTGATGCATGTCATCAGGGCCTCACCAAAAGCTGGAAGAAACTTGGTATGGGACGTACCCTTTACAACCAAACAGGACATACCCATTCAATTGCTCCAAGAATCAACATGTGGTAACCATGATATGGGACGTACCCTTTACAACCAAACAGGACATACCCATTCAATCGCATCAATAGAAACCAGGGCGTACCTTGATGCTTAAAGAAGGATGTACCCCACTGTCACCAACCAAGATGTACTCAGCTGGCTATTTAAGTGTCAACATGCCAGCTCTGTGCTAACTTGTGATAATTTACTTGATATGTTTGCCTACAAATTACAAAAACACTGTTTGACTTGTTGACATTCTTTCGAATTTTCCTTAAGGTATTCAAGGTTTTTAACATAAGACATGTGTTCTGTTGATTTATCACTTGTAAAATCATCTTCGCATTCTCTGTATTTTAAATAACCAAGTAAACTCCAAGTTGTATTTGTGAAAGTATGCTGGTGACAGCATTATATGAATTTTTTTATTTAAGAAATTAATTATTATATATATATTAGCAATAAAACAAATCACTGTAAAAACAATTTTGTCATACAGCCTAATTAAAATGTTGCACAGCTTATTAATTATCTGATCGATTTATGCAGATAGCGTATTAGTATCAAATTTGAATTTCTTATACAATCAGAAAATATGGAAAATACACGCAACTATTATATTCCCGCATCTAAGAAAAATAAAGTCAAATATATACATGGACTTCCTCCCGATTTTCATGACGAAGTAACGGTTAAGGAATTCATTGAGGGCAAGTATACTTGAAAAAGTGGATTGCAGAAGATCAGGGCCATGGATTAAATGAAAGACTTGAAGCGCATACAACAGGCACATAAGTGGCATTACTCTGCAATAAAAATAATGGGACTTCTTTTGTTTATGGGGATGCGATAATATCCAAAGAAGATGGTCATATGAACAGGGAGAGTATCAAAGAAGTAGATATCAGTATGGATCTTGATAATTACATTTAATTGAGCGAGAATCGAAAATAATAGTAGAGAAACCTTTTATTAATTTTTTAACAATTCATATTTCCTAATAATGAAACTTGCTGGCCTCAAGGTTGCTCTTTAACTTCTTTATCTACTTTATCCCGAGCCCTACGATCTCAATATTTTTTTACATTCTTATAATATTCAAAGTGTTTTGATATTTTTTTCCCTGAATTGATAATAGCATTGCAAAACATTTTGACTTGTAGTATCATTTTCAGCTTCGGCTTTAACAATTTCTTGATAAAGATGAATATAACTATTGGCTTTGGGTGACTGTGAGGTAAATAACAAATTTTGGTGGGTGTTATTATCCTTTAACTCTTTGATAAGTTTTTCAAAAAATGCGATTCCTTTTGTTTATTACTTTTTTTATCTGAAATAACTTTAGGATAGAGGTATCTTTACGAGCTCTTTTGTGAGGTTTTTTCCAAAGAGTCCTGATTATCTTCACTCTCCAATTCATCCACATCATCCATTTCCTCATCTTCTTGGATTACTTCTATGTTGATCTGAAGTTGATTACTCATCCCCCTAACTATTGATGAAGCACTTGATTGAGAATCTCATCTAGAAGTATCTATAATAGTTTTGGCACTTTGATTGCACTTAGGAAAAGGACATATAAAAGATATTTCTCAATGCAAATTCTATGAAAGACGTGGCCACATTGTAATGTTGTAAATCCTTTAAGAGGGTGTGAAAAAATTTCTTTGTTGGATTCTGAACATTGCTTTAGTTCTGGAAATTCTTTATCCTTGACAGTATCTCCAAATTTTTTTAGGATATTATATGCGAAATTTTTAAGGTTAGTAACAGACATAATGGGAATATTTGCAAATAATCCACTTTCTCTGAAAAATAAATCATTACAGAGCACTTCTACCAGATTTGGCTGGTTTTTATAATACTAGTAGTTTCAATGGATCACTCTGTTAAAGATGCAAAACACTACAATCAATAAATCAGCAATTTTGGACCAATATAGTCATGAATGAGATCAATTTATTTTCTATGGGCGATCTACCTCTACATTTTTTTGGGAAAATTAAAATCTTTATAGAAAAAAAACTATGCATAAAATAACGAATGCTATCATGGAAAATAGGAATGTGCAAATACACCACCTCTCTTCCCACTTTTGTATATAATTTTTTCGACACATCAAAGTGTCAAAGTTTCTAAATATCATGAATTGTATATAATCAGTTTTTCTCTTAATGGTGGTTGGTAATATCAGTTGTAAAGAACTTGTAGAAAAACTCTGCTTTGATTTTTTTTATAAATTAGTACATGAACTAGAAGAAAAAAAAATGAAAATATTATTTAATAAATTATTTAAATTATTTGATTAGGTAATAAGC